AGTGCCTATGTCAAAATCGAGTCAGCAAGACGTTTTGTCGAAGAGCACACACGAGCTGAAAGGGAGACACCAAGTGCAAAGAATAGTAAGGAAACGGAGGCCCTACTCAGCGCCATCAAAACGTCCTGTTCCGCCAAAAACTCGACAAAATCTCCCTTGCTTGCCGGACAAGGACTCATGAAATACCTGCCCTTCTCATCCAAACCCGTAACCTGGAACAGGTTGATAACATCATGCACATCCCCCTCGTTCAAGCCATACTCCATCACCGCCCTTGTCAGGTTCGAGTGGCAATGAAAGTCAAACTCGCCGCCACTCAACACGTTGTTAATATACGGATCACATCTCGTCCCCAAGAGGTCATGCACCCTGCCCCCATGCTCATCTTGTCCGTACCAGGACAGCGTGTCGGCGATGATGGTTAGCATGGGCCGCATGAAGGGTAAGTTAGACCAGAGCCGGTCGTAGGTTGATACGTGCGAGGCATGGAGCTGTTTGGTACGCGAGGCCCAGAAGCGCTCGCGGGGGTTGTGGAGATTCCAGATGTTGAGATCGCCAACTTGAGGACCTTCGGGGGTGGATATGCGGATGATGGAGCCGGCGGAGGCAGTCCAGGCGCGGCCGGATCGGATAGGGATGGTGAATTCGTCGGTGAGGATGCGGGCAGCTTGTTGGATGGTTGAGTAGAGGTTTTTGTCGACAGAGAGGGGAGATCCGGCTGTGGGGAGATAGGCAGGAACTGGTTTCGGGATGGGTTTCCGTGCCGCAAGGCGTGCGGCGCCGTCTTGCTCCGGGGTGGTCATGTTTCCGCTCGGAATGGAGACACGTAGGTAGAGAGAGACTCCCGGCGAAAGCTTGGATCGGCAATGGTAGGGGTATACGGGAAGAGAAAAGAACGTTAAGTGCAGGTTGTTGTTGAAGACGGATCGTTGATGAGATGGATGGTAGAGAAGAAAGAGCATCGAAAGGTTTGGAAGATCTTCCCTTGTGGTAATCGGTAGAGGTATCAATGCCAGGAACTACCAGCTCAACCCCGCACCATATCAGTGGGCCACTGGCTTGGCCGTCGGTGCCTATCTATCACTAGCCCCAGAGGGGTATACGATGCCACGAACCGAGTCGCAGCGAGTGCGGAAGGGACGATGGTGAGTCTGAGGAAGCTGGAAGCAAACCGGAAGGAGGAAGAAAGAGATACGTGTACCGAACTAACCGATCTTTGACTTTTCCCATTCCTACCAGGCATGATTCGTACAAAGTATATACAGATAGAAACACAAGCAAGATCACCGCCCACATCAATAGAACCGGGACAGTGAGCCCTCATCCTTGGGCATATTTAGTACTCCGGGCCCTCAACCCTCGTCAATGTCCTACCCAACGGCACATGCGCCCCATGAAAACCCAAAGCAATCGCAAAATCCACCTCCGCTCTTCCCATTTCCACCATCGTCTTTGCATCCAGGCAGAGCAGATAGCTCTTACCCTTCTCTCCATCCAGCACCAAGCTCAGCAACACTCCATCATCTTCCTTGTCTCCCCCCGGCCTCGGAACGAAGATGGCTTCACCTGGTGTGTGCCCCTTGGGGTTATCCCAGAAGAGCGCCTCTCGCGTCACCGTATCGGTCTTGACAATGGCATCGGTGATAGTGCCGCGGCCTCGGAAGGGTAAACTGTAGACATAGCGGTGCTTTCTGGTGGCGTAAAGGGGGTTGATGGTTGGGATCTCGCCCGCGTGCGGGGCAGGGATGCGGAAGGCTTCATGGTTCTTGGGGTCTGGGGTGGGGGTGACAGGCAGATTGGTGGCGGGTGAGTCAGGGTTGATGATGAAGTGGTAGCGCGTTAGGTGGGCGAGGGAGTTGCGGGCGCGTTGTTCGTCTTCGTAGAACTTCTTGGCTGCGGAGTCTCTGTTGAGGATCACGTCGAGGTAGAGGGAGTGGATGAACTCATGGGAGCCGAAATCGATGACGTCGCAGTAGAGGTTGATGTCAGATGAATCAGAGCCCGCCTTTTCTTCAAAGGAGTTGACAGTGTGGAAGAAGAAACGTCCATCGGTCTCGAAGCGGGCTACTACGCCTTTGCTGTGTTTCCTGTCGATGACAATCCATTGGGTCTTCCTGCTTGGGTCATAGGGCTTGATTGCATCGACGAGGTTGCGTTCCCAGGGGATCTGAGTGCCGCTGAGGCCAAAGTGTGAGGTTGGGATACAGAGGATGACGAAGCTGGGTGAGAGGAACAAGCTGTGGATGTAGGCAGGTGAAACGGAGGGCTCGCGGATGGTGGCCAGGATTTCCGTCTTCCCACTAGACGCGTCGACACGGAAGACCCGATAGGTGGGCTTTGGTCCAAATTCTAGGTTAAAGTTGAAGAAATCACCTGTCTCAGGGTCCCTCTGGGCATGAGCACAGGACATGGCGCCCGTCAACTCGGGGTGAAGAACGTCTTGGGTTGCCCAGCCGATTGGCTCCAGTGTTTGGGGGTCAATCTGCTTCATGGTGCTGTTGTCGGTGCTGACCCATATCGACTTGGGCAACTCAGGCCTATGACCCAGCACATTGGCATCGTTCTCCGCCACGGCTGGTTTCCTTGTCCCAACGATGTTTCTGACAGCCTCAAGTCCAGGAGGGTTGACATGCACGGCGACATTGACGTTGTTATGCCACTTCTCCCCCGACGGCTCTCTCAGTCCCTTGAACGCAGCCATGGCCTTGGCAAAGAAACCGAGGCAGGGATCGGCCTTCTGACCGAAGCTATAATACGGCCAGGTTCCCTGCTTCTTGATGACGTCCATCATTTCTTCGGCTTGGCGACGTGACGAATAGAAGATGTCAACGGACCCTTCTTCGTTCGGAATAATGTCGAAGCGATGGGTATGAGCCAGTCCATCGAACCAATGGCTCATCTCGAAGGTGGTGCCGGCGTCCGTGTCGATCTTGTATAAACCGGGACCGGTGCGGTAGAGCGAGCCGGCAGCCCATGTCGGGATGTTGCCTGTCACGGCGATTTTGATCGGCCCTCGTTCCTCGGTGAGGCCATCGAACTGCGGGAAGGTTAGTGAGAAATTCTTGGAGGACAGAATTGCGCGGAGTATCTGACTTACAGCAGCTTCGTTGGGCCAGTCTTCATATTTGCCAGTCCTTAAATTCTGTAGGGCTTCCTCATGGTCGTCGTGCTCATCGGCCTGTGTCCGGAAGGTGGTAGAGTTCTCCGGCACCGTGCCGATCACCTCGTGCGGACTCATACTGGACTGGAAGATCGACTTTCTCAACACCGTCAGCTGCTGGATTTTCCAGTGATTTGTTGATCCTTTCGTGGATGACGGAGATTAGGTCAGACTGTCGTGGGGTGGCGATGCAATCGTGATCCAACCGTAGCGGTTTTGGTGGCTAACGTTCCAGTGGGTTTCAAGGGGTATCCGCTGATGAACAAGCCGCCGTCAGGTCAGACAGAGATGCAAGATCGGGGATTTTCAACGCAGGTCGACATAGGGTGGGCATACTTATAAAGGAAAAGGAATCGCCATCCAATACGTCCATAAGAGGAAAGCAACGACCTGCCCTCCGTCAAGTGTGGCCACTAGAACCTTAGACTGGGACACCCACGGATGCCATGCCCGGTGAATCTGGAGACGGCAGGATCCGGATTTGCTCCCGATCGATGAGAGACACGAATGCGATGGATGCCGCCAAGCCACGGGTTTGGCGATCGGGAACGGGGTTAACATGCCTCTGGGTCGCCATCTCGATACCTCTACCTTAAATCGATAGCGTGACGGGAAAAGTCCCCAATTCGACAACTGTAAACGAATGCGAAGAATGAATGACGTTTGGCGCTCACAAGCACAACTCCGATGAGCTGCGCCAATGCGCCTCCGAAAGTCTGACGAATCCGCTTGGTCCACTGAGATGAAGATACATGCGAATTGATCTTCCACGGAGGGTCACCGAATCCGAGACATCTGTCTTGGTGGGTGACGGAAGGCGGGGCCCTGCGACTGCCCGGTGATAGCGGATTATGGGCTAAGAGACGCTAATGTCGGGAAGTTTGGGACATCATGGGTACCTTTAAGAGGTATTTCTAGGTACCTACTCCCCACGAAATTTTGGTGGTGATGACCCTTGAACGACCCGGGGTTTAAACAAGGAGAAAAAAAAAAAAAAAAAAAAAAAAAAAAAAAAAAAAAAAAAAGGGGGAAAAAAAGGAGAAAAGAAGAAGAACAAAAATTGAAGTTGAAATTGAGCAATTCAACAAAACACCAGTTCAAGAAATCACTTCGCCAGCCCATGCGCCTCCCTCAATGCCCTGATGGCATCCTCATCATAACTCCTTCGCTGCTCGTTCTCTAGCGGCAGATACATCATCGTATGCACCGCGCCCAAATACCGCTTGATGGTGACTTTGTTCCCTCCCTCCACCAACTTTAGTCCATACGCCTCCCCCTCGTCTCTCAGCATATCGCATTCCGCCGTCCTAATGAAAGTGGGACACAAGCCCTTGAAGTTGGGGGCCTTGATCGGTGCTAACCACCATTCCGGCCACATTTTCCGGATTTTATCCCGCTTCTCAACTGGAAAACAGGACTGCCCAAAGTACTTGATGCGGTCCCAGGGGAGGACAGGTCCATTTGCAAACTCGCTGAAAGAGGAATAGGGGGAGTCAGTAGGGGAGTCGTAGCTGATGCAGTCGGTTGTGGGAGGGACGGAGGCCAGGCACAGCTTGAGCGGGAGACCGGCGTTGCGAGCCATGTGCTGTAAAACGAACGAGATGTTCCCGCCAGCTGAGATACCGCCCACGGAAATGGAGGACGGGTTGATGTTGAGGGTGGTGGCCGAGTTGATCACCCAGTTCAAGGCCGCCCATGCATCTTGGAAGGCCTTGCCAAATATCGTTTCTGTCTTTGGTCAACGGATGACTTTCGGAAGGAGAAATGTCGTCGAACTCTTACCAGGACAGTGACGATAATTCACATCCACAATCACCACACCCGCCTCGCGCATACTCAAACAGAGGTGACCGTCCGTAAACAAATCCCCAATCACAAATCCACCCCCTGCTCCATTCACTGCTGGTCAACATGCATTCAACTGCACCCTTCTTGCGGCTCGTTTGTGTTACCCACCGTGATGGTTCAGATGAACAGGATACGGGCCATCTCCATGCTTGTCTGGGTCCGGATGATAAACCCTCACAGGAACCGTGGCTCCATCCTCCGATATGACCTCATAGTCTGTCACTCGCTCGCACTTTGAGGTATCAATGGCAGTTGGTGCTCGATACTTCTCGGGATGGGCTCGAAGTACCTTGATGGTGACGTCTCGTGGTCGCTTTGACAGGACATCCCGAAAGAACGGGACGAAGTCCGGATTCAATTTGGAGAGAATGTGGGGAGGGATAGTGCTGCCGGGCTCTTCTTGGCTGGCCATTGTGCTGTTTGACCTTTTCCCTTTGGTTGCCTTGAGAATCAGATGAATGTCGTCAACGTAGACAGGCGGGATCAGAAGCAGGAGCAATCGATGTTATCTTCAACTCAATTGTTGATAGAGGTATCGACTCGGCAATAGTGTACCTCTAGCCACTCGCCGTAGACTTAGACCGAGGCTTATCATCAGCGGGAGGGGCGTGAGGGGCTAGGAAGTGGGATCAACTGCCGTAAAAGCCGGCTATTATCCGAAGACGTGGAGACACAAAACGAAGCCAACTGTATGGTGTTTCAGTTCCAAACTTCCATCGGCAAGTCTGCCAGATCGGCGTCGGAATGTCGGTCCACGTCCACCATGTTCCTGAAGTACAGGAGAAGAACACACTGAAAGCCCAGCAGCAAACAACGACAGAGTACCTCTACGTAGACGCACTACCTCTACGTCTACACCATCATGATGCCAGCATGCCTCTCCAAGAATCTGCCCACAACATCAACAAACCGATCCAACTCGTCTTTAGGGGTATCCAACATCATGGCAATGAACCCTCTTCTCGTGATCCAAAAGCCCTTCTCCAGCATCTCAAACCAAAACAGATCTCTCAAATCCGCCCTCTCCAGGCTCTCGAATGTCCCATTCTCCCTGAAGTGCAACCCAATCAACGAGCCCCTCCCCGTAAATCTCAACCGTGTTCCCTTTGCCACCCCATTCAACCTGCCCCTCAAGTCGTCTCCCACCCTATTAAGCTCGACACAGACTTCCTCCGTAAACACCTGGTTCAGCCCTGCAAACCCAGCGCACATCGTCATGGTATTGTTATTGAAAGTGCCCGAGTGGGCCAAACTGCCCTTCACCCTCGGATCATAGACTGAGTCCATGATCTCCTTCCTTCCTCCGAAAGCTCCAAAACTGAATCCACCACCCAGGTACTTGCCCAGCGTGACCAAATCTGGGCTCAGTCCCAGCTCCTGTCCTAACCCATTGGGTGCCAGCCGGGAAGTCATCACCTCATCCAGGATAAAGATTGCTCCAGTGTTCTTTGCCGCTTCTTGTGCCGCCAACAGGAACTCTTTGCTGCCCGGAAGGCACCCCCCAGCACCTTGCACTCCCTCTACCAACACTGCAGCCAGGTTACCCTCCCTCGCCGTCTCCTCAATGACTCTTCTTGCCTCAGCAGCTGCCTCGTCATCCCCGTAATTCTGCACAACCACAAAATCGCCTTTGTCAGCCGTATTCGGCGCCGCCTTACCTCCCCCGAAAGAGAAACAAGCACCGTGATACCCGCCGTTGAACACCACCACTTTCTTCTTCCCTGTGTAGTGCCTGGCAGCCGCCAGAGCATGGAGATTTGCTTCCGTACCGGTGTTGGTCATGCGTACTCGCTCGAGCTGGAAGCGTTGACACAAAAGGGAGGCGTAGCGGACTTCGTAAGTGGTGGTGGAGCCGAGGGAAAGACCAATCTCGTCAAAAGTAGAGAGAATGGCGGTGCGGATGACAGGGTGAGAATGCCCATAAAGGCCGGCGGAGAGCTCGCCTACGAAGTCGGTGTATCTATGTGGGAGGTAAGTAGGTACCTAGGTATCAGCGATGAGTGAGGGGGTCTAATGCCCGCTGCAGGGTGTGATAACACTTCACTCACTTGTGGCCATCTTCGTCCCACACAAAAGTGCCTTTTCCATGCTTCATGCAAAGGGGGAACGGGGAAGTGTGTAGCAAGGTGCGGGTGTTGCCGCCTGGCAGCGACTCAACGGCCAATTCATGCTGCTTCTTGGAGAGCGGGTTGTTGGCGACATATCTAGACTGCGCAGCAGCGAGGGCTTCTGCTGCCTCTAGATGGCTGCTGTTGGGGCCGGTATGAAGGTCAGAATTGCATGACATCTTTGTAATTAGGTGATGGAAGGTACAATATCCAAGTGTTCGTATAACCCGTCAAACCCCCCGATACGGGACACCACGTCGAAGTGTTGGGGACTTGGGATTTCGTTGTAGGTACAGTCGACATGGAAGAAAGCCCGAGATTGGAGAGCATCCTATGGGTCAAATCGGCTGATTCAAAAGATGCCAGGTCAAGTACCCCGCTTCATGGTACGCGGGAATTCTTCCCCCCAGGCCCCTTCTTGGGAGCATTCTCCATATTTCTTTTCTATTTTGTTTTTTCGACCCATACCCTCTTCGTCAACAGAACCCGCAACAGTATTGTTCACGCGATCGCCGCAACCCGCTGGCATTCTCGAACATTGTCAATTGTCTTCGCAGGCTCCGAGCAGGCTCCGGCTTGGGAGAAAACATGATGACCACGCAAACGCTAACTATAGAGATACAGACAGAAGTCATGGGAGTTTCCTGGTCAACAAGTCAAGAGGCTGATCAGCTGGAGTGTGAGCATTCCATCCAGGTTCATGGAAAGGATGGCCGCTCTCAGGATATTTTTTCGCACCGGTCGTGAAAAGAGAAAGGACGCCGCTAATTCTGACTTTGACTGATGCATCAGGATCTCCGACGGACTGCGCATGAGCTTGCGTCCCAAAGTATTGACGACCCAGTAGTCGGTGATCGCAAGTGGATCAAATGGACGAAATCAAAGGGGAACATACTGGGAATAAGGTTCGGGATAGGTAGCCGGTCTTGACGAGTTACCAGGAAGGGGATTATTAGGAATTTAGCGCAAGAAGAGTGTACTGGAACCAGATAGGATACATCGTATTATTGTACATGGGGTATACGTTAAGGATTCTTCGAACTCCTACGACTGACCAGACCTACTCCTTCGGACTGCGCAACTTCTGGAACCAGACCACTAACAGGGAGCTCAAAGCTGAAGATGACGTTGCCTCTCCTGGATGTGAATTCCAATCGTGGTCGACCAATGGCGGATTCGTGGCTTGATCGCAAATTCGTACTCGGGCAAGCTCACCAACTCCTCCATGAAGGGGCCCATCTGGCCCCTATCCGACCTCAAGAAGTGCGTCTCGATGCTGTGCACAACAGCCAGCGAGTCCTCGTTGGCGTACAGACCAGCAAAGCGCATCTCCTCTAGCAGGTTGAACACAGCCTCTGCGTCGCCATAGCGGTGCCAATAAATGTGGGCTAGGAGGTTGTAAAACGGCGTGCTGGCGCCGAGGACGTAGCTGGCCAAGCCGAGCTCCTTGATGCGTGGGAGGATGTTCAGTGCCAACGGCGAGGAGCGAGAGAACGAGGTGTCCATAAGACGCAGGCCGTAGAGGAGGTAGGCGGGGTAAAGAGGGCCGTAAAGGTGCATGGAGAGTCTCTCCTGGCCTGGTTCGAACTCGTAGCCGTACTCGTAGTCTCCATCTTCTTGCACCTCCTTGGTCTTGCGTTTTGTCTTCTTGACAGGTGCCTTGGGTACCCCGGACCGGTCGGTAATACCCAGCTTCTTGACCATGGAAAAGACCTCCTCTTCCAGGATATCCCATAACTGGAAGTCGGAAGTGGCAGCTCTCATCTTGGACTCGACTCGGGTGCGTTCTTCGCGTCTCATAGCTTCCTCGGCAACTTGCTTGCTGAGGGGATCGGCGGGGAGCTGTTCTTGCGTTTGTTCGGCGGTTCGGGCGTTGTCGAGGATCGACGATCTCCCAGTTCCCTTGTCTGCTTCAAGGATACCAAGGGCCATGCGGGCGGCCTGTCGCAGGCTGGGAGGGAAACGCAGGAGGGCGCTGTCACGGTCGACGGCGCGTTCCGTCTGTCCGACGGGTGAAAGAGGGTCGAAGGGGCGCTGGACAGGTCGCCATTCCTTGGTGTAAGCGGCGGCGGCGTCTTGGAGCAGAATCTTGACAGTGTTGTGGGCGGCTTCGGGGTCGTGGTCTTTGATGCTGATCTCCAACGGGTCGTCTTCCGTAGTCTTGTTCTTCTTGACGATGTCTTGAAAGATGGTGTCAAAAGCATAGCGCTCTGTGGGGGTCAAGGTTGTCTTTTGTCCCTCGCCGAGGTCTTCTGGTTGCCATTTCCGCCTGGGCTTCTCGAATTGTTGACTTGGGAGGTCGAAGGGGATAGGATCTCTGCCGAGCATCGATGGGGCTACTCTTCGGCCACGAGATGGAGGTGAGCGAGAATCGAATTTGGATTCGGATCTGTAGTAGGCGCGCAGGGCTGTTGTCCTGAGACTGGTACGGGACAGGCGCTGAATAGTCCTGGTCTGGTATAGGAAGGGAAGCATGGTTGTCGACGACATGGTGACGAAGGTCCGGTTCCGCCGGGTTCGGGTATAGCGACTGTGGCCTCTTATTCTGTGTCCTACGGGATTGCTACAAACTTTCGTGTCCAGCACGGGGGTGACAGCATGCGATTTGTTGGTGGTCGGCAGCAAAGGTTGGGGGGAAGGCAGGAAACCGCCCAAGTCAAAAAACGTTCCCAATCCAAAATTTCGGAATCGATCAAAGATTCCTTGCCTGCCGGGACGGATTTTGCCCCGCCAATGTAGGAAGCTGCTAACAACAACAGCGCAAAACGACACGGTAAACCGTTAGTGCATCAAGCGCTGAAAGACCCTACCTGCGTCAACAGCGAATGGCTGTCCCGTGATTTCGTGCGCCGATTCGTTTCTCGTGCATCGACGCGACCCGTCAGGTGGCGCGCCTTTGAGATTTGAGTTCCATTGATTTTCCATATCGATTGCGACCATCTGCTGCACTAACCACACTCGCGTTGCTTCCTGTCCTTCCCCTCCGTCATTTCTTGAACAATTACAGCGTTTGGTGACCATCTCTTGTTTTTTGCATACCCTTTCTTGTTAACTTTCATTGTCTTTACCAAACCGTCCTCCTCGAGTCCCAAGATGCCTCCACGCAAGAAGGAAACCGTCATGAGCGAGTTCGAGCGCAAGCGCCTCGAGAACATTGCCTACAACAATGCCATCCTTAGCGGCATTAGTACCACGGCAGACAAGATTATCCCGAAGCCAGCGCCCCCCAAACCCAAACGCGCCAGCACCCCTCGAGTCAAGCGTGAACCTGTCAAGAAGGAAGCAGCCCGTCCCACGCGCCAGAGCAGTCGCCTCGCCGGTCTCGAAGCGGATTCCGCAGTTCTCAAGCGCAAACTAGATATCGAGGCTGAGGAGGAAGCGGCAAAGGCCAAGGCAAAGAAGATGCGCGTCAGCGGTGACTTGAACCTCGGCGATATCACGGTCGAAGGTCGCAAATGGGAAAGCAGTGCCGACGGTCTAGCGCTTCTGAAGGGTCTCGGTGTACGAGGGGCTCAACCTGGCGTGAGGACGTTTACAGAAAAGGATGTCAAGCATACCAAGGACAAGGGGTTGAAGGACCTGCGGTTGCGCATGAGCGGACTCAAGTTGTACGAGAAGTGGGCAGTCAATGGTACCTCTAACCCAACAACGGTCCCTACGACGATGGTTGTTCCACTAACAAAACTGTTGCAACAGACATTAAAATTGTACCCCAGCGCATCTACTCCATGTGCTTCCACCCCACGGAAGAAAAGCCTATCATTTTCGCTGGCGATAAAGAAGGCGCCATGGGCGTGTTCGACGCCTCCCAACCCACGCCCAAAATTGAGGACGACGATGAAGATGCCGAATACCCAGATCCCATCATATCCGCCTTCAAAACCCACTCCCGCACTATCTCTTCGTTTCACTTCTCTCCCACCGACGCCAATGCCATCTACTCGGCCTCGTATGACTCTTCGATTCGCAAACTGGACTTGGACAAGGGCATTTCAACCGAAATCTTTGCCCCGTCCTCTTCGTCCGAGGATCTCCCCATCTCCGCCATCGACATCCCGACCACCGATCCAAACATGATCATCTTCTCCACCTTGCACGGCTCGCTAGGTCGACAAGACCAGCGCACCAAACCTTCCTCGGCCGAAATTTGGGGCTTAACTGACCACAAGATTGGAGGTTTCTCCCTGCACCCTCGGCACCCCTACCTTGTCGCGACCGCCTCGCTCGACCGCACCCTCAAGATTTGGGACTTGCGCAAGATCACAGGCAAGGGGGATCTCCGCCACCCTGCCCTTCTAGGGGAACATGAATCCCGCCTTTCCGTTTCGCATGCTTCCTGGTCTTCGTCAGGACAAATTGCCACTTCTTCGTACGACGACCGCATCAAGATCTACAGCTTCCCCTCGGCTGGCGAGTGGAAAGCTGGGCACGACATACCGGCAAAGGAAATGCAACCGACGGTTGAGATACCGCATAACAACCAGACAGGAAGATGGGTGACGATTTTGAAGCCGCAGTGGCAACGGAATCCACAAGACGGGTGGCAGAAGTTTGCCATTGGAAACATGAACCGGTTTGTGGACGTTTATGCAGAGGACGGAGAACAGTTGGCGCAGCTGGGAGGGGATGGGATCACTGCGGTGCCGGCGGTTGCCCACTTTCACCCAACCAAGGACTGGGTGGCCGGCGGGACGGCGAGTGGGAAATTGTGTTTATGGATGTAGTGGTGGCAGTGTTCATGTGTCTGGATAGCTGGGTGTTCCTAGTGGTATTTCTTGATTTTGTTGTACGGGGTATGTTCTGGGACGAAGGAGTTTCTACGATGATACCATGTTTGGATGACTTGATGTTGGTGTCAATAGCCTCATAACGATGTTTGGCTTTCGCCTTACCATGGCATTTATTCTGTCCTTGCGCACGCGAAGCCATATGGTCTTGGATGTGTTATTCGTTCTTTTATTTCCCCCCTTGTTTTTTTTTTTTTTTTTTTTTTTTCCTCCAAGCTGGGTTGCACCGTTCTTACAAAGCCACCAACACTTTTGTGTCTTGGTGCCACGCGAGTGGTGAACATGATTGGTAGCGCAACCACTCGGCCGGTGAGATCTCTGGTGTACCTGAATAGGATGTCTCCAAGTTCTTGTGCTTGGTGAAGTTCCGCAGGTGTACCATAGGTGGTTATGGACCCTTTTCATGTCTCTTCTCCCAATCAGGTAGCCTAGGAACTTGGGATCACATGTAAATAATGCATACGTGGCTGAAGTCGTAGCAAACTTGCCCAACAGTGATTTCGACCTGGCAATTTGACGTCGCTAGCATACACACCTAAGAGTAGCGGGTCTCTCCATGTAGCATCCTGGGAGCCCATAACGTGTAGCATAGGTAGCAGGAGTCGAAGATTTGATTTTGGCTGTCAATTGGCCGCGACAAAATAAGCCTCCAATGAGGCCAAAGCTGGGACCGGTATGATGCTCCGGCAGGGAGGGACAGCAGGCCTTCGAACGATGATGGTTGCAACCACGACACATGACAACATTAAAACATGGGCCACTCACTTGGACATATCAGGTTGTTGTAGGCGTAGCAGCATAACTTCAACAGACTCGCGTCTCACGACATGGCCAGCCTGTCCCAACATGTTGACCGGAGCTTCTTGAGTGTGTCATCCAAGGAGAGACATAGATAAGAGGTGGGTAGCGGTTGCCTCGGGTTTCCTAACTGAAAAAGCAAAGCCCCACCCCACCTGGTGTCATCCGTCACCCGTCCCAAGCAGGAGGACATTTCCAAGGTGGATAAAGGAAGATCAGATGCAAGTCAGCTGCAGTGTCTTTGATCGTCAGAAGGTGACATTTTAGCATCCGCTGATACACATTGACTGTTAGAATTTGCCATGACTTGAAGGCAGTGCACTATCGCAGGAAAGAAGCCAGGGTGGCTATCAAGGTACCCATCGGTATCTCATCCCTCCCTAAAGGGCCCACTTCTATGGAGCCTTCCCCGGCTTGGGCTGGCTCCTCCTGAACAACCCGCGTCAGGCAGTGGGGTTTCACCAGACACCCTCGTCGTGGACAAAATAGTTGAGATCTTTGACATTTTATCTTGGGTATGGATACTCTTACTACGCATCCAAGCGTCTTTGAAACACATTTTGTTTTGAGTTCTTGGCAATTTCTTAATGAACATATGCAAACCAGACTCTAGCCGATGTCTTTCCGAATTATTGTAATCCCTATTACAGTCTTGCAACGACCCTTTCTTTAATCCTGACGAGCGGTAGTAGACTGGTTTACCTAGCCTGTTGGTTGGTCTCACTTATTTTGTCTCGCACGAGACACCTTCCTGGCCACTAGACTTACAGCGGGTATCCAGTGTGTGATGCTCGGGCTCCTGTTCTCGACCGCCCACCTCCCGCCCGGGACTCCACGCATTTTCCCAAGCCGTTGTTCAGTTGCTTTCATCACTTCCACTTCCCTTCTCTGGCTTGGCCATCATTTGACGGACGAAGCGATACGCCGAGCACCTGTAGCCACCGGTACTCCTACGCGCAACCGAGTACCGCGACAACAGGTACCGGCCAATATCAGAGTCGACCAGTCAGGCTTCAGACCTTCGCGCTGCCCGCTGATTGTCTGACCGACGCGAAAGTTACTGGTGGTGGCTGTACACAATCGCAGTCGTCCACAACGGCATGGACTACCAAGGCGGAGATCAACAAGCACTCTAACTCCGCTTACAACCGTACGGCCTCTTTCTTTGCTTGTTGTTTGTCTGATTATGTAGGGTACCTACCTACTTACCTCTGCCTGGTCTGCTCACTCCGCTGCCTGCCTGCCTGCCTGCCTGCCTGCAGTCCACTTCCACTTGTGCTTTGCAGCCGTCCACTTAAGCTTACCTCTGCTTCAGTTCTTCCTCAAGTTCCTACGAGTCAGGCTATCCCCGTTATTACGACCTCTAATCATCCTTATCCCTCTCGATAGTCCTAGAAATGGCGTCTTCCCAACCAACATCATCGGGGCCCATACTCGATTCCCCTCCGAGTCCGAATCCTCAGTCACAGCCAAACACCGAAACGTCCTCGTCGCAACATCGTGCGAACCCGTCCGAAGCACCAGCCCAAGCCGGCCCTGGTCCTGCACGTCCATCTGCACTCACCAAGCGCCCAAGTCACCGAGAAGTTGCGGCCTACCGCATGTCCAGGAAATTGCAAAGGTTACGCGGCGACAGTAACCAGCCACACTCTCCCACTATGGAGCCCTCCCATCTCTTCTTTTCCATTGTCTTTGAGGCGATCGGGGAGCTCCATAGTGGGAGAGTGTGGCTGGTTACTGTCGCCGCGTAACCTTTGCAATTTCCTGGACATGCGGTAGGCCGCAACTTCTCGGTGACTTGGGCGCTTGGTGAGTGCAGATGGACGTGCAGGACCAGGGCCGGCTTGGGCTGGTGCTTCGGACGGGTTCGCACGATGTTGCGACGAGGACGTTTCGGTGTTTGGCTGTGACTGAGGATTCGGACTCGGAGGGAATCGAGTATGGGCCCCGATGATGTTGGTTGGGAAGACGCCATTTCTAGGACTATCGAGAGGGATAAGGATGATTAGAGGTCGTAATAACGGGGATAGCCTGACTCGTAGGAACTTGAGGAAGAACTGAAGCAGAGGTAAGCTTAAGTGGACGGCTGCAAAGCACAAGTGGAAGTGGACTGCAGGCAGGCAGGCAGGCAGGCAGGCAGCGGAGTGAGCAGACCAGGCAGAGGTAAGTAGGTAGGTACCCTACATAATCAGACAAACAACAAGCAAAGAAAGAGGCCGTACGGTTGTAAGCGGAGTTAGAGTGCTTGTTGATCTCCGCCTTGGTAGTCCATGCCGTTGTGGACGACTGCGATTGTGTACAGCCACCACCAGTAACTTTCGCGTCGGTCAGACAATCAGCGGGCAGCGCGAAGGTCTGAAGCCTGACTGGTCGACTCTGATATTGGCCGGTACCTGTTGTCGCGGTACTCGGTTGCGCGTAGGAGTA